CCAGCTGCAATCAGGTGGCATGCAAACGCATGCTGGGATGGGAGTGAAGAGAGCACCCGTCCTCACCAAGAAAGGCCACTGGAAGCTGAGGCCTTATCGAAGGGAATAGTATCATGCATCACAGACTTGACACTAGGAGCTTGAACTTCTCACTGGTCCCCAGACAGCCCTCTCTGATTCACTGAGATGTGGGAACTCACATTGAAAAGTCAGTTTGTGCACACACTGACTAGGACAATTTGTCCTATTGATTAAGCAAAAGATGTCTTTTCTTGTTATTTCCCTGACCCCTGAGACTTATTTGTGCTTTCAAAATGACTCAGATTCCACAAATGGATGAATTTTTGGTGTGCAGAATATCTTTACTGCTAGCTGCAGACACTGCAGTTGAACATAAAATTTGGAGATGCAGCCTGCTCAACTAAACTCACCAAAATGGCAGGGGTTTCCAGATATACATTTCACCTTTGAATTTGCAGTTCTCCCAATCACTTATTTAGAGAAGTGAAATGACTTATGAACTCCTCCATGCCTCTTTCAGTGATGCTAAGGAATATTTGCCCTTCTTATGCCTTCAGCTGACCTAGAAAACGTGGATTTCTGGTGGAATTATACAGCTCAGCTGGAGTTGCATGTGCTGTCCTGCACCTTCAAATCAAAAACTTGTGCATGAAAAAATTGCCTAGAGACAGCTCTAATTTGTTCTAAACTATCATCCCTTCTATCAGCAAGCAGCGAATTGTTATCTATTTATTTCTTACAATGTCACTGAATCAGTGACCACCTGCAAGGTGTCCATGATGATAAACGCTTGCTTTGTATATGGAGCTATTTCTGACAATGCTTGATAGTGCACATCTATCAAATTGCCTGGAAGAGCCACCTATTAGGATCATTATCTAACACAGTCCCTTTGTGGGAGTTCAATGTCAGCACATCCTGGGGAAGGTACATCACTGGGTACCTATTCTGCTCATTATTTCTCTAGATCATTAGTTTCACATTTCCATTATGAACTTGGGCTGAACTTTGGAGTTCTCACACCCAGAGCAAAGCTGTAGCACAAGCATGGAGACTCTCAAGCATCCTCCGAGCGCACAGCGTACTGCTGCACCCGCTTGGTGTGAGCGGGAACTCCTGTCTGGAGGGTTGGCTGGTTGAGCTCCATGCCAGCCAGCCAGGGGAAGGTAGGAATACTTTTTTTCCTGCAAGACTGTAGCTATCCAGCACTATAAAAACCCTGGTGAAAGACAGACACACCCTGCTACTTGCTTGCTGCCTGCTGGGTCTGTGCTCCTGAAAGTACCAGCAGCTCTCCTGCAGCTCGCGCTGTCCCAAGGGAAACTTATTTTGGAAGAGCTCTGGTTCAGGTCAGGAGTTTTGATCTTAAAAAGTCAGTGCTCAACAATCTTTTAGCAAACCATGGCCATTACTCCACAAATCACCCTTCCTACAAGAAAGCCACAGCTCTCAGCCCTGGGCAGTATTCATCATGACTGAAATGACAACCAGGAAAACCACTTTTTCCTCATGAAGGAGCTGCAAAACATGGGGGCCTTTAATTGCTTCTGCAGAGCCTCACCTATTAATGCAAAACACAGGCCCTTGGAGGTCATGTAGTTCAGTTCTTGGGAAGAACATATGCAAAAGCGATATTCTAAGATGGCACCTCAATGTCCTCTGGCCTTTCCCCTCAAGACTGGCTCTGTTCAGAGGGCAGTCCCTGAAGCCATGTCCACAGCAGCTCAGACCTCGCAGCAGCTCAGATGACACAAGCTAATGTCAGTCTCTTTCTGTAGGCTGAACTGCTCTGGCCAGTGATGGATGCAGCGTCTTCCAACCTGACAGAACAGTTATTTTCCTGCATTGCTTTTTATTTCCCATCATTGAGTTTAAAGAGCAGTTCAGACTACAGCCAGGCTTGCATACATAATACACAAACGAAACCTCCCCGAAATCCACAAAAAAAGTCAGCCAGCTTCCCTGTGTTGCCCTCATAATCCTTGAATTGAAGAGGGAGGTTCTAGCTTTGTTAAACAAAATGCAACTGCCATGTAGTGTGCAAAAGGGGCAGAAGTGATGCCAACAATTTACATGAGCAATAAAACTGCAGAAAAATGAAATACTGCTTACCATGTTCTAGAGTAGCACGTGGTGCAGGCAGCATGCAAAATGGTGATGAATCTGTTTAGCAATTAGCTGCCAGATAGCTTTAATTCATGTCAGATACAATTAACTCACTCTGACAATTGGAAAAGGAAGCTTGAATATTAACAGCATTGTTGGTTGCATTGTGCTGGGAATGCCACGCTTCAGCAGTACCACCTCTGCAAAGAGGAACCTTGAGCTATGCTGCCTCCACACTCTGCAGAGCAAATTCAGCACACAGCCAACTCGAACAGGCACAGACCGAAATGCAGTCATAACCCCCCCGCCCTGCCTAAGTTCTACAGGTTCTGCTTCTTTCAATCTTCCAGATGCTAAAAGCTATTTTGGAAGCAATTTTTTGCTGTAGGCATAAATAATGTGTTAGCCTCAATAATAGCAGATATGGCCTCTCATCCTTCAGAAGAATCAGGAATGTATAGCAAATAAATCTAGTTAGAAACAAAGGTATGCCTCTGCTGTTGGAGAGCTAGGTAGGCAGGCTTGCAGGGACACAAGGCTTTCACGTCTGCGTTGGAGAAGTCTGAGGAAGCAGTCAGGTCACATCTGCATCTCCTTACCACTCCAGACTCGTTAATCTAGAGGAATAGTACTAGCAAAAACATTAATTCCTGGATTTACTAAGTAACAACACTATAACCTCAGCATTAAACAGGAGACCGAAGTGGCTGATAGTGTAACAAGCATGTCAGTGCAGGGCCTTAAAGATTGTTAACTATAGCTTTTGAAAGGAGACAGTATTAACAGAAGAATTCCCTAGGCTAGCTAAGCATTTTAGTTCATTTTTTTTCCTAGTAAAGACATGTTTAAAGCAGTATCCAAGCAAGTATGTTACAGTTTTATTTACAGCTTAACTAGCTGGGTTTTTTTTAATTAATATGTTAACAGAATTCAATGAGGACAGCAAGGCAAGTGTACCTGTAGCTTAGTAGTTTACAATATTGCCACCTGCAGTTAGGACTTAAGAAGCTACCAAAACCTCTTTAATATTAATTTCCAAATACCTGGCATATACTTGAGGTTCGCATTAGTGACATGCTTGCTTTTTAAAGGAAATTCATGTATGAATGCTGTTCTACAAAGTTTTTCCCATGCCACAGGCTGCATGAAAGATTTACAACAAAGCATAAGTTACCTCTGATAGCAGCTTTTCCCAGTCTTCCTTCTTAATCATGCTGTAGACTTGGCTTTTGCCAAAAGTAGAGCTTTTCCAAACCTAGAAAAATTCCCAGTCTCAACATCCTTGTTTATAGCCCCTTCAAAGAGGCTTAAATCAAGGACAAAAGGTATCTTTGGAAAGGACAGTACGCCAGCTAACAAAGAAACAGGCTTATTTTTAGAAAAAAAATCTTAGACAAAGTTAGAGAAGCAAAGATCTTTACTCTGAATGCTCTCTTAACATGCCAATTAAAAAGTTCTCATTAAAATGTTCCCTGCTGAAACAAAGGAAGGATTATTGGGTAGTCTCTTGCAGATGCAGTTTTACATACTTGATTTGTATGATCCATACAGAATAATGCTTCAGGAATCAAAGCTAACCACACTTTTAAGGGATTCTGCATCTTAGTCCAACAGACAGGAGAAGCGTCCTCTCCCATCCTGTACCAGCTACAAAGATTCACAATAAAAATGAAACCCTGGATTTTGAGTGAGAGGAGTCTTTTACATTTTAAGACTTTATGCAATCTTCCCACAAAGACCTAGCACTTCTAGAGAGCTCTGCTTTTCCAGGCTGCTGAAAAATAAGACAGTTGTAGGAAAGCAAATACAGGACTTCTTCCCTAATTCATTTTTCAAGGAAGTGTCAAGCCAGATGAGTGCTCCTGCTTACATTTTTAAATACACATACAGTAACCCTTTCCCAGGAGGCTGCATTTAAAGTTGAATTTTCATGAATTTGAAGTGGAACAAGATTTCTCTGTATTTTCTATAAGCAATGCGGGGGTGGGGGGGGGGAACCCAACACATTAATGACTTTTGTCCTGTACAAACAGTATTTATTGGATATGGCTCTTTGTCAAAGAAATGCACTGAATCAACTCAATTTAGATGAGAAGAAAGGGAAGAATAGTGTTTTGACTAGTCCTAGCTTTCTTCTTCCCTGTCTATAGTCAGTTCCAGGAGCACTGCTTCTCCTAAAGATTTTGAAGGGGGTAAAGGAAAAGCAAAGTTCTCTCACATTAGAGATACTCCAGTAGCTCTAAGGTTACCCTCAGTAATCTAGTTACCCAGCAGTCTAGATGACTGATTCTGTTAAGTTAAAGTACCTGTGATCTTTTATTTCAAAAACAATAAAATGCATAAGTTCACTATAAAAACCTCAAAGCCAGTTAGAAATACAATGGCTGCTATAAGAACAAAAGGATTGCTATTCATCGCAGCATCATGAACTACAAGAAGCTTTCCATTTGGTCCCAGGCACCAGTAACTTGCCTTTAGGTATTTCAGGTACTATACTGAGATAGTCATCACCTTTTAAGCACATTTGCAGAGAAAGGATGTGCCTGGAAGGAAGCGCAACAAATCTGATCTGTTGCTTTCTTTGCCCAGACAGATGCAAACTCTAGTCACTTGTGTCCACTGCTTACATCTTCTGCAAGACACCAGAATAGCTTTTCTGCCCAGCTTGCTCGTCTGCAAGCCCAAGATAACTGTATCTTGGTCTCAACCTTAAAGGAAATAGGAAATAAAGCATTTTTTTTCCTGAATAAAAAAAGCAATCTATTCTAATCCCATTACATATTATAGGTAGAAAAATTAGTTCTAAACTTCCATTTGGTAAATTAATGGAAGGAAGACACAAATCAGAAAAAGAACTAAAGGCAGCAGTCCTAAATGTAACATTCTGTATTTACAGAGGGATGTCAACATTCGCCGAGTTTCATCTATGGGTTTTTGCAACACTGCAAGCTTGTGCCAGCCGAACCTAGAAAGAAAGAGAAATTAATCAGTACTCTACAAGACACTGTTATATCCCACAACCAGTTACAACTTCTGCCTGAAGCGGAAGACACTTTCAGTTTTGATTCAGTTTTTCAAAACATTGACAATAGATCTTCAAGAAGTACATGGTTTATCCACAGTTTGTATTAAGCTAGATGTGATGTAAAGCTACTCCCTTTCCTTCCCTTCTCAGCTTCTGCTTCTTCTTGACCACTAACATGAGCCAAAATACAAGACAAGGGTGGGGTGGGGGAAATAAGGAGTTTCTATTACAGCTGAACAGTCCAAGGACTAAATGACAGTGACGGTGCTGTCTTACAACTTCAGGAGAGGATTGACAAAAATATATAGACTTACTGATAGCTTCTTCATACTTCCTTGGGCCTCCGGATTCAGATGAAGAAGATTCTTCTTGGTCAAATCACTTGCTGTCAAACGAATGCTCTGTGAAAAAAACCCCAAATCTTAGGTTTTCTGTTTGGTCAGGTGTAGTAGCTGGAAGCAGCAAAAACCCCAAACACAAAACTTAAAAAATAAAAGTAAATAGAATTCAAGCATACTAGGAGACCACATACAGGCAGAGAGCTACATTCAACTGGACCAGAAGCTCATCTCTTACCTTCCTTGCAGTGCATTAACACAATACTGCCAGCAAAAGCTACTTTAAATGTTACTTAAATACATGGCAAAACAGCATTCTACATTCTGCTTTGACCATCTTGACCAGCTCCCACTTCTGACTAAAAATCTCTCAAGGTTCTTTTTAAGCTAGATTAATCCCCTGATAAACTGCAGTAGCACAACTAAAGAGACAAGAGTGGATGACCTGAAGCTGGTAAGGCCCCCAAGAACTTACAAGCTATCCCTTCAGCATAGATTCTACAGATTAAAGTTCCTGATTTACCTCCCCTCCTCCAACAGGGACTGTAATGAAGATATCGTTGCTGTCAGCAAGGGGGCTGCCATTGGCAGAGATGGTGTAAACACGTTCATTTACTGCGGGCGTGCGCAAACCCGGTGTCTTGAAAATTCTGAAACAAAAAGTTATAGGTAAGTAATCTCACTGCAATTGCTCAAAGCACTTTGACTAAAAGTCTTTCATTCTGGGTTCAAAGGGTCACTAAGGATTATGTTGCAAACAGAAGACAGACACATACATAAAGCAAATGGCAAGGCACTTCCCTACATAAGAGATTAACAGAGAAATTTAACAGAATACAAACCTGGAATCAAATTTGGGTGTGACCATGGAGGTACCTCCTCGAGCACAGACATCAACAATTCTACCAGTAGCTGGAGTGATAAAGTTGTTTTTGCTTGATCTGTTAAAGGGAAATAAATAAACATCTGCTCATAAGAATATTTTTAACAAATATTCAAGTCTGTGATAAGATAGTGCTTGTATGAGGTTAGCACCACAGAAAACCAGAGGTTCTTACTACCTAAAGGTGCACCCCAAAGCTAGGGATAGCTGGTCATCACAGGAGAGGAAGTTGCCTGTTTTTTGTTCACTTTCAGATCACTGATTTTTTTGCTATAGCATGGCACAACTATATCAACCAGCCTACTAAACTGTGCTCCATTCCATTTTAGAGTTATATTAGCACTATACACTTATTCTCCATTTCTGAAATCCAGTAAAAAAGATATCCCCTCTTACCTTTTACTCATGCGCTTCACTCTTGCTGAAGGAGCTCTTCTGCTCCTGGACACTGGCACTTTCTTAGTGGATGCCTTCGCCTGAAACACACATTACTCACCGAATCAGTTACTTCGCTCTCGTGTGACAGCAGAGTCCACAACAAACAAATCCTTCCATACAAAACATTTGGCTCAGTAGGCTCCCTTTATTATGGCACAAGAGTCCCAAAACAAACACCCTACAAGCTTCTGTGTTTCCTATTGCTAGAAGTTTCAGGAAATGATACCTGTTTTGAAGTCCCCCTCGAAGTATCCTGGACAGCTATATTATCATAGGCACCATCTCAGTCAGTAGTTTATCTCTTGGGAATAAAGTTATCACAAAGAGTAACTACTTACCTTTCCAGTTCTTGGATTAACATTTTCAGCTTCTAGCTCTGGAAGACATTGGCTATCATGTTTTGCTTTCTTTGCTAGAGGAAGCAAAGGAGGCTCTGCTTCTTCTTCAATAGCTTCAATATCTTGTTTCGATTTTCCCACTAGAAAGAGAAAGTGTTATCTAAGTTGAAAATAAATAATAGCTACACTATTAGCTAGAAGTAGAGGTAAACAGTAAACAACCACAAGGATTTTTGGCAACAATTTGCTTCTGAAATCCAAATTCCAATGTAATCCAAATGGCTGACAGAGCACTATTTTGAATGGTTTTGAGTGTTTTAAGAAAATTAAGTAGAGCTACTGCAGACAGCAGGGATAAAAGTAGGACTATTTTCCTGTCTTTAAATATATTGAGAGATGCAAGAAAGAACTGAATTATTATTCACAGTAGGTAAAGCATGACATGCTTTCATCTCACCAAACTCGTCACAATGCTTAAAACAAACTGACCTTTCTTGATGATTTTTAAAGGAGTCTGGATAACTTCTGCTGTTAACTTGTTTATTTCTGTTATTTCCAAGTCTGCCTAAAATTAAGAAACAGTCACGGCACCATTAGGATTATCAGTAGCATATAGTTCTGAGAAATCCAAGTTGTAGAGCAAATCCCTAACTATTTTATAGCAAGAATACCTCCATGCTTTCGGTTGTGCTCAGACTGGGAACTTCACGTTATTCTGGAGGCGACAACAACACGTGAGGTCTGCATGCCATTCGGGACTAACGTGCCTTATTTGGCTGCTGCAAGTAGACTTTGCCTATGCCCTGCTGCTCAACCAATTTAGAAATACTTTAACTTACTGAAAAGCGCGTGTGCTCTTGGGGATCTGGGAGTGAAATCAAGCAAGTAAGGAAAGACAGAAGGACCAGCATGAGCACACAAATCCTGTATTGTATACAACAGGTGTCTCTTACTGCAGCATTTATGAAAGAATTTATGTGACCTCTGCTCCTACAGACACAGGAAACCCTTCGTTTCCTACAGTAGTGCGCGACATCATCAGAAAACTTAATATTTGTGCTAGATACCTACCGTTGCTGCCTCTTCCAGCACCTTTTTGCTTCCTCCTTTAGCTAAAAAGAAGAGATTTTTAAAAAACTCAGCACATATCCGAGACAGCCTATACCGTACGCGCAGACATACTTCAACACGCCACCGCCGGGACGGAAAAACCAGTACAAACCAGTTTTCCGGGCAGCGGGCGAGCAGCCTCTGACAAAGGGAGCAGCTTCCGAG